TGCAGAAAACTGTGACCTACCCCGTAGGGGAGCAATAAGTCACAGAAGCCGTGGACCCACTGGTAGGCTGCGGCAGCCTGCTTCCCAGTCCTTTTACCCTCCCCCATAAGGGCCCTTGTGGCCCAGAGGATCTGATGAAAGTTCCCCCCATCGCTGGAGAGCAAGCTGCACCTTGTTGTGGGAGCTACGGACGTCTAAAAACTCCAGCAGCTCCTATCACAATGCATGTGGGGGGGTGGGATTACTGACTCCTGACCATCCTTTGGTGGGGCCCCTGACACAGCCCCGTGGCCCACCGAGATGGGCAGGCAAGGTGTGGACTCCCAATGGGGATCCCAATGGTCTGGCGCCACGTGGCCCGCCTCGAACCCTGGGGCAATAGGGGGCAGCAGAGGGAAGATAGCCCCTAGTGGGTCGGGACAGGGAAATACAAAGGCCTCTCCCTGGGGGTAATTTTCTGGAAAAGGGAATGAGACAGCCCCAGGGGCAGCAATAGCATCGCAGGAGGTGGAGGGGATAGGGACAGGGTCGGCATCAGAGGCAGGGCCGGGGTCAGGGACAGGGGTAGGGGCAGAGGCAAGATTCTGAGCTCCAGGAGCTGAGCAACTGGGTGGTGGCACTTCTCGGTCAGGCTCAAGGGTTCAGGGTGTGGGGAGGGGGGAGTGATAGAAGGCAGATATATTAGCCCCAGGTTAAGTAGGTCCCTTTTCCCTGGGTAAGGTAACAGGGAAGGTTCCAGATCAATCAGGAACTTTCTGGAAACAATTAAGGTAGACTGGCTGATTAGAACACTTGCAGCCAACCAAGAAGCTGCTAGAATCAATTGAGGCAGGCTAATCAGGGCACCTGGGTTTAAAAAGGAGCTCACTTCAGTTTGTGGTGTGTGTGAGGAGCTGGGAGCAAGAAGCAGAGAGTGAGAAGGTGTACTACTGGAAGACTGAGAAGTACAAGCATTATCAGACAACAGGAGGAAGATCTTGTGGTGGGAATAAAGACGGTGTTGGGAGGAGGCCATGGGGAAGTAGCCCAGGGAGTTGTAGCTGTCACACAGCTGTTACAGAAGCCACTGTAGACAGCTGCAATCCACAGGGCCCTGGGCTAGAACCTGGAATAGAGGGCAGGCCCGGGTTCCCTCCATCCCTCCAACTCCCTACTTGATACCAGAGGAGTTGAACTGGACTGTGGGTTCCACCAGAGGGGAAGGTCTCTGGCCTGTTCCCCGATCCACTAGGTGGATCAGCAGAGACTGTGGGGATTGTTCTTCCTTTCCCCATGCTGGCCAGTGGTGAGGCTAACTGAGTGAACAGCAGATTTGAAAGTGGCCAAACTGAGGGCTGCTGTGAACCTCTGAGGTGAGAAAAATCCACCAATAAGTGCAGGACCCACCAAGGCAGAGGAGGAACTTTGTCACAGTATATAAATTTTATAGTTTACACAGTTTTGTAGTTTCATTTATAAATGAAAGAAGTCTGAGGTAGTCTGATGGTCAATTGGCCAGAAAGAAAAATACTGTGTTCTCACAAGGTAGAGAATGAGGAATCTATTTCCCATTGCTTAATCACTTATTAGGAGTGCAAAACCTATAGCATAACACATTTCATGTTTATACACACACAGATTTCTATTGGAATGTCAGATCGTATGAAAGCAGAAGGGTCTCAGTGAGCATGATACTGAGTTTGGAATTACACCTGAGAGATTTGGCAAGAAATTGTCAGCTGGACTAGAGTACCATTATTGTAGAGGTTCAGTGTGATACCAGCTGATAATTGCTCATGTGTGTTGGCTTCGTTCTGATCTTTCCTTGCTGAGGGAAGGATGTGAGTCCCAAATTATCCTTATAGCATCAGAGAAACTAATTTTTCACTGAACATTAATCATGGAAGCAAGCTGTGATTCACTGGACTGACTGGACAGTAGAGTGCAAGCCAGGGATTCTCCAGTTTTAAATTCTAGCTGTAGCATCAAAACCATCTATAGCCTGAACCAAGTCACAAACTCCGAATCTGTAAAAACTGACATATTATTTAGGTTTTCACTTACCACTGAGGATGTTTGGAGGAGTCCTTAATGCATGCTTTTCAAAAAATGCATATGCTATTTGAGGCAAGTCTATAATACAGCCAGTCATACAGTCATTATTTAAAAATGATATCTGCTTTTGAATCATGTTGAATTGACCGTCATGCAGACTGAAGTCTGTTTAACAACAGAACATGTATAGCACTGATAGCAACAGTACAGGCTTCCCCACAACATTTTGCCACTGTGCCATATCGTTCCTAATTTGGAGAGAGCATCTTTTGGTTAGGAGGATAGATCAGTCTCTGTACGCATCCAATCTTGGGCCTTTTTGCCAAGACAGCACATGCAGGTGACACATGGAGAGGTGGTTCTGTGGTGCAAATGCCTAACCACCAGAAATTGGACTGGGATCACCAGCTTAATTTCACATAAGACTTCAAATAACCTCCGGCAGTGATGGTTTTGGGTCACTATGTGCCTGGGATTGACTCACCCTCTGTCTTAGCAGATTTGAAGCACAGTTCCTCTAGAAGTATGTTGTAATTTTCCATCTACACTTTTAGACACTAAAGTTTTCCCTTTGGAGTATCTGCAGAGATTAGCAGAATTTATGAAACTCATCTGTGTACAGCAGAGAGATGCAAGACCACTGTTAACTAAGTTAATAAATGATTTTATTTCCCCTTTAACATAATTCCTTCTTCTCTGCTCACCCTTTTCTTCCCTAGCAGGCCTTCCAGTAAATTTTTTTTTGCAAGTCTGTAAATCCTAATAAGTCATTCTAAAACAGCCAGCGATTCAGGGATAATGGTACAGTGAGTCAGTATACTAGTCTTTCATATCTACCAGAGCATTGTTAAAATCTTAGCTCAGAATCTAAGTGATAAGGAGTTTAGTAGCCTCATTCTATTATCTGTTTAGTATAGACCTGGCCTTAGTAATATGAACAGAGACTTAAATCGGTATAACTACATCGCTCAAGGGAATCCACATTCCTGAATGACACTGTTATACTGATCTAACCCCCGGTATAGACAGCACTATGTTGACAGGAGAAGCTCTCCAGTCGACATAGCTACTGCCTCTCGGGGAGATGTATTAACTACGCTGACAGGAGAAACAGTCCTGTTGGCATAGTAGCGTCTTCACTAAAGTGGTGCAGCTGCGCCACTGCAGCATTGTACATGAAGACAAGACCTAAGTCACCATAATATTTGTCACAACTGGCAGAACAGAAGTGTTGCAGGTCTGGCAAAGCAATGTGGAGAGTTTGAAGAGAACCTGTGCATGCATCTAACTAAATCCCTCTGTTTAATAAGCATAATAGCACAGAATTCACTCACAGATATCAGAGAATATCAGGGTTGGAAGGGACCTCAGGAGGTCATCTAGTCCAACCCCCTGCTCAAAGCAGGACTGATCCCCAATTTTTGCCCCAGATCCCTAAATGGCCCTCTCAAGGATTGAACTCACAACCCTGGGTTTAGCACACCAATGCTCAAACCACTGAGCTCTACCTCCCCACCCCCCCTGAATCCCAAATAGGCAGAGATCATTTTCTAAGATAAAAGGTTTTGTTAATTTTTAACCTGGATACTTCAAAATCTGTATTTTTGAACACCCACAGCATGGAGTTGGTGGTAATGGCTATTGGTTAGTAGAGCTTTAGTTCTGTAATCATTAGGGATTATTTCCCTATGATCATTGGCTCTTCCCCTTACCATGTAACCTTACAATGCATTGCTTCCTCTATCCAAGCAGTCATCAACCTTTTATTGATAAGGGCTAGATGTCCTTGAGATTTAATACTTTACAGAAGCTTTGTAGCCAAACTGATCTCCAGCATTTTACATTAGTAAAATGGGTGATAGATATGAATCAACATGTCTTGTTAAAATACATTTATAGAGAGGTAGCAACCATTGTGCCAGTCCTTGTACAAAGTCATAATAAGATACAATCTGCTCCACAGGGCTTACAACCTAAGGGTCACATCCTGCTAGCTGTTCTGTGCTAGAGGACCATGAAGGCTGGTCCAGGATTGGTGTCTAAAATGACAAAACCCAGACAATTGAGGGAATGGGGGGAGGTACATCACACGTGCAGTGTCGTCAAGGTAAGTGGCAGGTGCATGTCTTGTTTGTCACATTTTTTGGTGTTTGTTTTAGGTTGGTTTCTTAATGTTCATAATTGTTCTTGCTCATTTGTTATTTTTCCCATTTTATACATCATGAATGCATATTCAATTCATATTCAATTTTTGTTCATCTTCACCTGTTTTAAAATATTAATTATTCTTGCTAATGATATTGTTTTTCAATTTTATTTTTTGATCAGCCATGTGTCTTCACACACAAGGTGTATTAAAAACCAAAGCCCTCTCCCCTCATTGACTATTCCAAATGGGGTTGGATGAGTAAGTACACATGTTCAGCTAAGCGACAGTGATATTAGATATTGAATGATTTTACAATAGAAGAAAAACTCACTTAGGACTTTCCCATTCTTCCTTCAGACTAGTGGACTATTACTCCATGGATAGTGCCACTTCTCTCACTTATGCTATTTGAGGAGTAAATTACTGCTCAGCAGGGATAAACATAGCAGAATCTGCCCCTTGCTGATTTATATTTTAAGCCCACTTGAAAATCATTTGACATAATATAAAAATCTGCATAAATATGAGTAAAGACACAAAAAAAGAACAGAAATCATTGTTAAAGATAGAGAGCTTCCAAATCTAAAAAGTCACTACGTAAAAACCATCAATTATCTTTACTTGGCAAATGAAAGGCAATAACAGTAAAATGTGTATCAGTACCAACTGTGATGTGAAATTTAAAGCTCTAAAACTTCATTAAAATCAGACTTGTAATGATGTACCATATGCACTGGTCTGCATTTGCCTCAGGATATCCAACTTGTGGTTCATTTTCTTTCACCACACCCTCTCTTTAAAAAGGATGACTCAGACCATTTTAGTGAAGTGCTCAGAGGCGAACATTTAGGGTAGGCATCATAGAAAATATTTGTTTCACTGTACCCTGGTGGATTACTGTAATTTGCTATTTCTAGGACAAACTAAGCTGTTTCTAATATTAACTGCAAACATGAAACAAGGCTGTTAGAATACATATTCAAGAACGATGCTTTCAAAACTGTAAACTATGCAGTCTGAAAAGGTAAGTGCTTTTAAAAAAAATGGAGGATGAGAATTCTTATAACAGCTTTTTTACAGAAATGGCTGATAATGTATTCGGGAAGTATGCTTTAAGGGGATTACAGAGGTGCATTAACTAGATTAGGTAGTTGATTAGACATGATAGGTGAGAGGCTGCATATCTCATTACTATCCCTTGAGCCATACAGAACCCATAGACTTGTTTTAGTCTGATAGTTTAGTCATTTGTTTGTTGTTCCCCCTTATAAATTCAGGATCCGTTCTTCTTTCGGTATATGCATTAATGCCAGTGGAAGTTATGGCTATATATGGAAAGTCAAATAAGCACTTGTGTGTATCTGCAGTTTATTAAAATGTAAAAATAAATAAATAAAAGCCAATGTTAACACCATGAAGGTAATCAGGTTTAAATTTAAAAAGTCAGGAACCACAAAAAGTGAAGACTACCAAAGCAACATTGACTAAACCTCATTGCACCTACATTCTAGTCCTCCTTTTCTCAGGAAATAGGAAGCTTACTGTACCAAACTATTAAGGATGTACAGCATGGCTGAGTTAATATTGCTCTAACATTTCCTGATTCTTTTTCCCCCCTAAATTTTATTTTAATTATGCAACTTATCACTGCATTAACACAGGATGGACCATTGCTGTACACTGTGGGAAAACATTGAACTGAGTTGCCCATGAAGCACAGAAGAAGACAGGGTGTCTTCATTAACATTGAGGTAAGTGTGCTGCAGAACAGTCTTTACACCTCATTTTTGGAGATGCAGTATTTGTTCCACCATATATCAGGTACAGATTCTCAATAGAGTAGAAAGGGGTGACATTGTAATCCCATACCCACTGTGTCCTCTGTAGTGTCTAGTACCACTGGTGGATCTATGACTCTATAATGTACTAGATTGGGGTAGGATAAGGAACCCATTGCAACTACCAGCTAAGAGATATTTTCAGCTCAAGAGGTAAAGGTTGAAGAACTAGGATGCTAATCCCAACTATGCACAAAATCAACATATAGGACTGTAAGGGACCTCTGTAGATCTAGTATAGTTCCCTGCACTGAGACAGGGCTACATATTATCTAGACCATCCTTGATAGGGCCTTTGTCTAACCTAGTCTTCAAACCTTCAGTGATGGAGATTCCACAACTTCCCTAGGTAATTTGTTCCAATGCTTAACCACCCTTACAGTTTGGAAGTTTTTCCTAATGTTTAACCTAAACCACCCTTGCTGCCATTTAAGCTCATTATCCACTGAGGACAGGACAAAAAGCAAAGAGAAAAATTTACCATCTTCTTTATAACAACCATTTCTGTATTTGAAGACTTATGTCCCCCTTCAGTCTCCTCTTCTCCAGAAGAACCCCAGTTTTTTCATTCTTTCCTCATTGGTCATGTTTTCCAGACAAGTGGCTCAATCTTTCCAGACTACTAGACCCCTTTCAGGAGTCTGGTTTGTCTTGTGGATCCCCAAGTTGCACCTCACTTAGAACTATTTTCTTACAAAATCAGACATAAAAATATAGAAGTGTCATAGCACACTATTATTGAAAAATTGCTTACTTTCTCATTATAAAATAATGAATTTGGAATATAAATACTGTACTTACATTTCAGTGTATAGCATATAGAGCAATATGAACAAGTCATTATCTGTATGAAATTTTAGTTTGTACTGACTTCGCTAGTGTTTCTGTAACCTTTATAAAGCTAGGCAAATATCTAGATGAGTTGATGTGCTGGAAGACCTATGTGTATCCCCAGGGGTACACGTACCCCTGGTTGAGAATCACTGTTCTAGACCTTTAATCATTTTTGTTGCTGTAATGGGTTTCAGTCACCACTCCAGTGCCTCCTCGTGGCCAATAGGGGACTTAGCTCTGGTAGCCAGTGTGCCCTGCTCTGGTGGTGATCCACCCATCACCTCTTCTGCTGCTGGACCCACGTCCCTCCAAGGACCATGGTGTCCTCTTCATTGACACAGCCCTCCAGTCACACCACACTCTGTGCTCCCCCATTCCAGGGGACATCTCTACAGTCCCTGTCCAGCCACTTCTTTCAGTGGCATCTGCAGTCTGTCTAGCCACTTCCTTTCTGGTGAGGGAGGGTGCAGGGGGGGAGAGAAGATGGATCCTGTAAAAGGTTGCTGCTTGCTGCACTCCCTCTGACTCCTCAGTAGATTTCCCTGGCCCCTTCCCCGCAGCCCTAGCACCCTCTTTGCCCTTGTCTCAGGGCCTCAGCCTGCAGATCCCCACAGCCCACCAGGAGCTGCCTGTAGCTCTTCGCATGTCTACCTACAGCACCAATCTGTACAGGGTACTATCTGCCTTCAGCCTGCAAATCAGCCAGTCCTTCTCCCTCTTCAAGCTCCAGAGAGTGACTGAAGCTGCTCTGCCCTGCAGCTCTTCTTATAGTGGCCTGTCAGGCCCTGAGTGGCTGTTCCCCTTGGCCCTTCTCTGATTGGCTGCCTCCTGCACAGCCTTTCTAGGGCTCTACTAACCTCTTAGAGCCCAGTGAGGGGCAGGCACCCCATCACAGTTGCTCTCCTCTGGACTTTCTCCATTTTTTTCCACATCTTTTCTGAACTGTAGTGGAATAATATGGGCAATAGAGTCCAATGTGTGCGTGCAAAAATCAGTGTGCTGTGTTAATAATACTTCACTCATGTGAAAGTATCTAGTATGCTGCATGTAAATGACACCACACCTTAAAACCTGACATTCTCACCCTCAGTTTCTCCACACATTTCTCATAAGCTTAGCAAAATAGCAAATACCACTTAAACAAGCAGAAAAATCATTTACACTCCATTTATTCTGGGAAAAACTGCTTATCTCTTCTTTCAAAACACAAAAGATGTTATATTCAGTTAACAAATTCAATGAACATACTGTTATAGTTAGAAAAATTACCTTTTTTGTGTGTTTTTCAACACAAATTGAATTATTCTCTCCTTTGCAACCATTATTACAGTTCTATATTTGTCTCCAATGTGTTTCTATCCAACTGTATTTTGCAATACCAACAACTTTGATTCAATTGACCATTTCCCTCTGAATTGTGCCTAAGACAGCACAGAGAATTAAAACTTTATACCCACATATTTAAACATCATTTAAATCAATACCCGTCCCATCTCTTGGGTGGGTTCATATAACGATTAAATTTCACAGTATTAAGTTTTCTGAATATCACATATTGAACTATCAGTTCACAGACACAAGCCAGAAAAATTTAAAATATAATCTTCCCCAATCCTCAAACCCCTTCCCTTCCTCGACGGGTTGGAGAAAAGACATGGGGTGAAATTCTGTGCAGTGCCAGCTGTGGAAGTTGAAGTGGAGGGGAATTCTCAGCTGGTGGAACCAGTTACCGGTGCACTACACCCATAGCACAGGGGGCATGTTAGGGGAAAGTAAAGGGTAAATCAGAGACAGGGAAGAGCTCTGTGGCAGCATTCCTTAGCTGGCATAAATCCCCTTGGCTGCTCTAACTCATGCTGGTCCTAGGGAGAAGGCAAAGGCTAGAGACAGTGCAGACTGGCCCACAAAATCAGGGAACTGTAACCAGTTCCCTGAGGGTCACTTCATTCTCCTGCACTGATGAGAGAATCTACCACACAAATTAAACCTAGAGAAGTCAAGACAACATTAATTTCTTGTAACACACAAGTAGGTAAATTCTGGGTGGGTGTTTTGTGTCCATCAAATGAAGTAATTATCTGGAATGCAGATGTTTAGTATAGTTTATTTCATTCCAACGATACCAACAGCCCCGACGTTCCCACAACACAACAAATGTCAGGTTAGCTTTTAATTCTTAGATCACTGGTGAAGGGGCTGTTTTATAAGCAGCATTATGAAGTTTATTCAAATCAATCTTAAGAAATAAAAATTATAAGAGGTGCTGTAAGGAATCGATGGGAAGGATATTTTTCAATAGCCTGTGCTTTTATGTAGATAAGATGAAAGGTTAGTAATTTGAAGACACATGATGAAAACAGAGTATTTTGACACCAAAGCATTCTTTAAACTATGGATTACACAACAGATCAGACTTCCAGTCCCCAGAGCAAGTTCTCTCTTCCTCTTCTGGCATATGGGACACAGACATAAACTGAGCCTTTTGGTGACAAGTGACTAGGGGACAGCAATTTACAAAGAGATGTTTCTAAGGAAGTGGCTGCTTGTAAGTGTTGCTTACCAGTATTATATAACCCAGGGACAGGAAAGTAAGGTTGTTCTCTCATAAGTCTGAGAGGCACTAGAGTTTCCCTTCTTTTTCCCTCCACCCCAGTCTCCCTGGAAACAGGCAAGGAGCTTCTCCTCCTAAACTTGTGGATAATGGGACAACCACAAAAAGCAAGCGCTTTCACACAGCTTCAGAGGACACCATCACAAGCCATGCACAAATGAAAAACCTGTTTGAAACTGCTCCCAACCTCCCCTTTTAGGAACTTCATTCAGCAGAGGGGGTAGGGTGACCAGATGTCCTGATTTTATAGGGACAGTCCTGATATTTGGGGCTTTGTCTTATATAGGCACCCATTACCCCCTACTCTCTGTCCTGATTTTTCACACTTGCTTTCTGGTCACCCTAAGAGAGGCCATCACCTAAAACAATGCTAAGAGGGATCAGATTATGTCAGGGAATCCCCACAGATTTTCAGATGGATGATGTGGTGAAGAGCACCCATGACCAAGCTTTGTCTCTCAGGACTTTGGATGCCCACCCCCAGATATGCACCAGTGAAGGTGTGTGCAGAGGGAGCTGTTCAGGACCTGTGGCAAGTTTTGAAGTTCTCAGCACTAAGCTTCCTTTAAAATATATGGCAAAGTTTATCCAATGGTGATAAAAAAATGGCCTGGAATAGGTGAAAAGGGGGCTTCATGAACCACACAAAGCCCTGTGAAAATAAACAAACCATCAGACCTACATAGGGATTTCTGACCCTGGAATCCTTCATGTCACTACCAGATTCACTTATCAGGAAACATAGTAACATTTATTTGGTGTTGAGTTGATGTTATGGTCATTGTAGCCTATGCATAATCTCCAATGCAGAAAAATACAATATGAAGTGAGGACATAATTTTCTGTAGTTATTAATCATGTAAATGCCCCAGACTGTAGCCACATAGCCACCCTCTCTGCAAACACATTGTGAGGAGACTCACTTAACTTTAAGAAAGTGGGTAGTAATAGGGATCCTAGTCCCCAAAACATCTTCATGTAGAAATTTCTGCAGGATCGCAGTTGTACGTTGTCTTTACATGCAAGTAGAACGGTCATTGGTTTAATTTGGTTAGGAAAAGTGGAATTTTACCAGAACAAACAAAATATCTTGTCATGTGCTCAACTTTTCCAATGTTATGTTGTCACATAAAACTGAAAATTAAACATAACCTAAAACCAGCTGAAAATGCTCTAAAGGAACAAGCACAATTGATATTAGAATCTTGGCAGAGCATAGTTGGGCAGGAATAATTCAGAAAGAGTTATTCCAGGTTATTACTGAAACAAGTAATTAGATTAAAACCAGAATAGACTAGCATCTGCAGTCACTAGGTAGGATACGGTTATTAGGGTTATCAAATCTAATGATACAGGGAATAAACTGATAACCAGCGAGGATCAGGTAGGAATCTCAGCCCCCACAGTATAATACTGAGCACTGCATAAGAAAAGCATCATGTTTCATCCCACTCACTCACCTTAGACTCATAGAATTTCAGGGTTGGAAGGGACCTCAAGAGGTCATGTAGTCTAACCCGCTGCTCAAAGCAGGACCAATCCCCAATTTTTGCCCCAGATCACTAAATGGCCCTCTCAAGGATTGAACTCACAACCTTGTGGTTAGGAGGTCAATGCTCAAACCACTGAGCTATCCCTCCCCCTAACTTGCTCTGAAGAATCTAATATAGGCTTCTCTTGAAGACAGAGCACTAAGCTAGAAGGCCCATTGAATATTCTATGCTCCCATATTTCAGTAGTTAAGTTCCTGGTAGAACGTAATGGTGTCTCACTCTATTTTATTCAGAAACGTTGGATAAGAGTTGCTGCAGGCATGAGATTTAACAGGCTGTTCATAATGACTGACAAGTTCCAGCTGGGATTCAGGGAAAGGGTAATGGAGCACAAATATAATAAACCTTAAGTAAATGAATAACTTCCCTTTATAAAAACTGAAGTGTGTGAGGTGGCTAGTATTTTGGAGATGAATGAAAGGGACACAGGTTCTACCTGAACTTTTACATTTCATAAATAGAATATCTGCATAAAATGGAATGAAAAAATAAATTTACAAGTCTATTACTAGGTCTTTAGATACCCTTAACAGAGTCAGGGTTTTGTAAGTTCTATTGTTGTTAGTCCTTTCAGACAATCTTTTGCATCCTTTTCTCAAACATTTAACAGAGCTTTATTTCAATGACGGTTTTTGGTGATAGATCATTATACTCACAATTTTTTTTTTTGCAAGGGCGTTTTCAACTCTTGAGAACTGAAAATTTCTTTAATCCCTTTCATCCAGATTTTGCTGAAAGAAGAAGTTAATGGAAATCATCTGTATGCCCTGCAGAACTGAAGAGCCCCTTTGTCAGTGAATAGAGTTGCAGAAAGAATTACAGTGAGATGTCCAGTTGGATTATGGCACTATGTCATCCTGTGAGCAGCATATATTAATTGCAGCACTATGACACAAACATCCTAATACACGACATTACAATGTACTATCGTTGTATTATAGTGGTGCTTAGAGGTAACAGGGTGTGGCAGGGCCCCCTTGGCTTCTGCCTCTGCTAGGTTCACAAAAGTCACTCAGAGACCCTGGATTTAGTAACCACTGGTGCATTTTATTCTCCTGCTTGTTCACACCACTGTTTTACCATGAACAAGTAACCCTTCTCTGTCTGCAGGCAGGAGGGAAGGGAGAGCTACCTCCCTAGTTCCATTCCCTGCCTTTTCCCTTTCCTCCTGTTCTCCCTTGGCTTCCTTCCCCTTAGGCTTTTAGGCAGCCCCAGGCTAATTAGGTAGCAGCTGTCTTCATCTCCCCAATTAAAGCCAGGTTATCTCCAGCCCGCTCTAATTTGCTCCCCTAATGAGAAGCAGGCATGACAGAGGGCTGAATCTCAAATCCTTTGCCCAGCACCCTGTCACAGTCCCATTGTGCTAGGCGCTGTACAAACATATAGCAAAGACAATGCTTGCCCTGAATAACTTCCAATCTAAGGTAGCAATCCTGCAAGTGTAACGCCGGGTGGGATTGAACCTGGGACCTCTGGAGTTTAGTGCATGAGCCTCTATTGCATGAGCTAAAAGCAGACTCATAATCTCTAAGTGGTCTCAGTACCCCTAGGTGGGACAGAACACTATACCCAGGAGGTATGTGGTATAAACAAGCACTTATGCACAAGCTTAACTTTATTATCAAGGAGTAGCCCCACTGAAGCATTTGGGACTACTGAAGTTAAGCACATGTGTAAGTGTTCGCAAGATTGGGGCCTAAGTCTAAGATAAGAAGGAACAGGCAGCGACAGATGGACATATGGGGAATGCAAGGAAATGAGATGATATGGTTCAACATTAAATAGTGATCACAAGACACTAGCTGGTAATCGTTGTCGATATTTTTGTAGGCATCAGTGGAGAACAGGTTTAATGAAGGATTTAAAAGACAAGAGGAGGTGTTTTGGTGGCTATTTACAGGGAGTTCTGCCTAGGCATAAGGGGAAGGATGTGAGAAAGTGGGAGGATGCATCTTGGAAAAAACATAAGAAATAGGAAATTCAAGATGGGCATCATTGTCAGAGAAGAGGCACCGGCTGCTTTCTCAAAGATGTATGATATGTAACAGGTAGGACAGGGATAAGCTGTGAAGGGCCTTCACAGTGAAGACAAATAGTTTAAATTTGAAGTGATAGAGAAAGGGGTGTCAATGGAGAAGAGAGGGGGTTTTCATGGTCAAAGCAATGACTCAGAAAAGTGATCTTTGTAGCAGCATTTTGAAGGTATACAGGTGGGGGAACAAGTGATTTATCAGAATGCAGCAGTAATCAAGACAAGATTCCTTTGTGTGTGTCTGTAATTCTGACTGATGGTACTTCCTCTCTTTTCAAATCCTCCCATCCCCTGTACTTTGACCTCCTAAACACTTACACAGACTCCTGGCTTTTGGGATGGTTTTTCTATCGTTTCCCCTTTCTGTCAGCTTGGAAAGACAAGGAGTGATCCTGGTGTCTCCATTCTGTTGATTCAGAATCCCCTGTGCAACTTAGGTTTTATCAGTTGCTATACCACAATCGTTGTGTAGAGGGCAGCACAGTCACATTGTCCCAGAAGCAGAGCAGGAATCTGGCTGACACCACGAAGTTCCCAGCTCTCCCCTTGCTGAGTGTGGAAGGAGGGAGAGAAGGCAGCAGGGGTGATCTGTCAGCTCTGTATCTAGCACAGGGGTACTGCCTTAAAGAGCTGGTTTAGCCTACTCCCTACCCTTCTCTGCCCATTCCTCATCACCTGTGTTCCACATGCAAGCACTACAGTTGGTCAGAAAATACTTTGTGAATAGTTTATCCCTTCTCTCAAAGAATTTTGAAACTCAGTTTTTTCAGCCAGTTCTGCAAGAGGCACTTCTTCAACCTTGCCTTCACTAGTACAAACTCATAACAGAACGAACACACAAGTTATACCAAAAAACCTGCCCACACAATTCTCCCCTGGGGTGAAGGGACTAATTCCTGTCACATGTAGTCCATCTTATCAGTTAATGCATTACTGGAAGGCATTCAGACCACAATGAGAAATGCAGTGTAAAAGAAGATCATGCCTGAAAAGAACAAAACAGCATACCCACAGAGGTGGGTCTCCACAATATGGGTAACCAGCACAGGGGAGTAAAGGGGACTCTTTATCTTTCTACTATGCATAAGTGCATTAACTGGATCCCAATCAGGCCCTCAGAGTGTTTTGGGCACCAGTGGTAATATTCTTATAAAGCAGCACTCTGCTGGCTCTGACAATCCCAAATCATCTCTGAGATACGGACACATGCTGTGCCCCAGATATGCAGCCTCAAAGCAACAGGCTGAGAACAAGTTCTTTACCATCAAGATAATTTGCAGAGAAACACAGGCATCATGTTATGGGACAGTCCCTCTACTTGGCTCTGGAAATGCTGCATTCAGTTCTTGGCACCTCAGTATGAGGGGAAAAAAAGACACTGGGGGAAATTCAGAGAAGAGCAAACATGATTAAGGGATTGGAATGAGTAACTAGAAGGAAAGAGTAAGAGAACTGAGGATGTCTGCCTTGGTTAAATAATGTCACCATGGAGGAACTTAATAATTGCTTTTGTGTTTGAAGGGTGTAAACACCACAGAGAAGAAAGAATTTCCTAAAGTATTAAAGGACTGATACAGTAACAAGGGTTAATGAAATGGAAATAAGAGAAGGAAAATGTAGGCCAAATATGAAGAAAAACTTATTTAAGATTGTGGAATAATCTCTCTAAGGAAGTCATGGAAGCACATTAGTCATTTAGAACTGGACTATACAAAGCAATGAAAATATCATCAGGGAAAAAACGGAACTGGCAAGGAGCTAGACAAGATCCCTAGGGCAATCTCTACTATCTATGATTAACTGGGATTGAGGAGGAAAAAAATCCCAGAAAACTACATATATTTGAAAGAATGTTTTTGCAAAGCTCCAAAGACAAAGGTTGAAAAACTCATGCTAATGCTGCTTCTGTAGTTTTTTTTTTTAAAACCACACTTGATCTTTTAAATCATCTTGTTGTATAAATTTCTAAATATGGTTAGGAAGGAAGGAGTCTAACACTGAAATGTTTGTTTGTTCTTTATGATCACACCTATCCTCCTAACGGTCGAACAGTTGCAGGTGCCTGAGTGTGCAATGCACCATCTGAGCCCACTAGTCTCATGGATGCTGACAGAAGTCTGCCATTATCACATTGGCTGGGTCTAGACTATTAGTTTCATCTTAACAGTTTTGATTTGTCTGACATTTTTCGGTCTTGTTTTACTACATGGGCAATTTGAAGCTCAAAAGCAATCTCAAAGAAAATACAATCAGACAGTCAAAAATGCAAGTTAAGGGTCCAGTCTTGCAGAACACGTCCCGGTGTAACTTCACTCACATCTGCGGGACTGGACCCTGGCAGGATGGATAATGGTCACACATCTTGTGGAGTGGAGAGTGTCAACCACATATATGGCACCATCCCTCTTCCTCGAGACTCCACCAGACAGTGTACATTTGGGACAAACTGATATACTTTCCCCTTCAGTTGCTCAGGACAGGATCATGGATGTGATCATGAAGAATAAAATAGAGAACTACTACCACATAGCATACTGAGGAAAGTAGATCAGGAGCAATACCCACGCTTCTTACCAGGGCATTAGATACTGACAAACTTTTCAAAAAACATGAAGAGACTCCTCCAACACCAACAGCAGCTCATGTCATCATCGTCTTAATTTAAAAATACTAGCCAATCTTCTGCAGTACCAGGAAAAGAAATACATCAAGGGGAAGCATCACAGAGAAAGAAAAGTAAAGGATGAAATCCTGACTCCACTGAAGTTAATGAGTGTTTTGCCATTGACATCAGTGAAGCCACGATTTCACCTAGAGGGTATAGGGTGATGAGTCCTTTGCATGCAATGCTTTAGACTGATTCAGCCAGTATGATCTTTAGTAGCTATAGTGCTTACCCACCTACTTATATGTTTAAAGGCCTAATTTTGGTCCCACTGAAGTGAGTGATAAAATGCCTGTTGAATTCAGTGGGAGAAGGATTGGGGCCTGATTTTTAGTCTCACTTGCACTGGTTTTACACAGCTGTGATTCCATTGATTTCAGTAGAGTTACCTCTGAATTACACTGGGGTTAGTGAGATCAGAATCAGACCCTCATGTCTGAATAAAATGTTGGTGTATTCTGTATTCCTTGTGTATGAGAGACTTATTGACAAGGTGAACACATTTTTCCTTACACTGTAAATCCACTCAGAACAGAAGGGATTTGTTTCTTTGCTGAGAAGACTTGAAAAGTTTAAGATCAGGAATAGCTATTCTTTAACTTACAAAGATAGTGGGATGTAAGGGGACTAGGCGTGTCTTAAAATTTTGATAATCTGCATTTTTAAATAGTGCAAAGTCACCAGAGAAATTTAATCAGGATTCAGATATTGATCATTTTGGTAATAAGGTTAAGACATGCATATACTAATTAGTGTGTTCTATAATTATCTTGTAGTGTTTCTGTGAACTACAAATATCTAAGAAATTCTAATGTGAAATGGTGGATAATGTTATTATTCTCTATTGTGGTTAACTGAGTTACGGAGATATGTATGCTAATTATTTCTCCCCCGCTTTCCTGTTAACTTATTTTGTAAATTTACTTATGAACATTAGGCTGAAATGGATAAGTATTTCAAGCTGTTTCTAAATCTTCTACACATGTTTCTTACTTGTTTCAAAGACAAATACCTTGTTCTGGCAAATACACAAGTTAACAAAGAAATATATGTTGTTTCAGAACTTCAGTTTATTTAAAGCTAAATAAGAGGTGTTTACCTTTAAGTACCTTTAAGTACTTGAGGAAGAGATTTTTTTCATTAAGTCTGTGTTTCCTGTAGAACATGCTGTTTCTTTCTTTGCTTCTGTGGTCCCTAATCCAAAGGTCACTGAGGACAATGAAAAGATTCACATTCACAATGTGAAGTCACAATGACTTCAGTTTGACCTAGAACAGGCCTTTAAATGAAAGCTATTTAGTGTCAAATTCACTTAAATGGTGTACAATTGGAACAAATAACTTTATAAGAGTTTTCTGATAAGACGTTAGTCTAGAAAGACACTTGAAATCCCATACCTTCAAAAGAATGAGCTCTTAACATTCTAAGCACATTACTGAACTGCAAAAAACAAAACAAAACAAAAAAAACCACCAGTGATTCAAGTTTGAATATGTTGCCTCTTTCTTGACTATTATATAGCTTTCCCCTCTCCCCACCCCGCCCTACTGAACAGCTGCATCAGATTAACTCTATTTATTTATTTATTTATTTTATTTATCCATCCTAAAACAGGCTAAGAAACCATTCTGCTCCTGAATTCTCCTATTGGCTATTATCTCTTTGATATAAGAAAACTATTGGACAAATTCACCACAGGCAAGAAGAGGCACAAGTCCACTGAACTCAGTAGAATTGGCTGTGCTTGCAGCTAAGCTGAATTTGGTAGTTTGCCCACACAAGGGCACTACGTTTCTCTAGAACAGCAAGGGAGTTTCATTTCATTTGATTCACCACAGTTAGCGTACTCCATTTGCAAGTGCAACTTTCATCTTTTGAGGACAGATTAAAATCCTACCTTTCCGAGGTGGTTTATCACTGGAGATAGGGCTGTTGATTATTTATGTCCTTTACAGTCATTTGAAGAGCAATGTGAAAACTGCTATCAGATTTTGACTGTATTGTGCCAGCTCATGCACAGAACTATGGCGAGGGTTTCATTAGGATTCTTTTTGATGTCTGTTTCCAAAAAGTTCTCTGTTAGGAGGGGGGAGGGGAAGAGTCACTATCCCCTGAACATTGTTACAAAATATTTTAGCTTCTCCCTGCAAATGGATTTCTTTGCATTTTATATATGTGGCATTTAAACATGAAATGTATTGGATTAAGGCTTTCTTGCATCTGGAAAATTCTGAAGATGAACTCCCACTCCCCAGTTTAGAGAAAGAAATTTGGCAGTCTCATCATTATGCAATACAGACTCATCATTATGCAATGTCAAAATGAAAAAAAAAAAAAGGTGTGTGAAGATGAAACTGAGGCTTCAAATACCTAATCTTGTTATTTGTGTGTAACTTTAACAAAAGTTTCCAAAGGATAGTTTTCATGTAGACATAATCACAGAATGGTTAACACGACAGAGAATGTATTGGATGAGGAACCCACTCGTAATAGTTAAACAGAGAACGGGGAGATAAGGCACTTGGAACCCAGTCTATCTCCCACTGAAGTTCACAGCCAAAATTCTGTTGATTTCAAATGAAGGCAGGATCAGAACCTTAGGGATAAATCTTGTTCTCGTGCCTGGCATAAATAGCCAACTAGAACACTACGAATGTTTACTGGGGAAAAGGGGAAGGAATCCTGCAGTGGCTATGTAGCTGCTTTACAGAAGCTATTTCAGGTTGGCCCTAATCTCAGGGGAATAAGTAGTAGAGGATCAGGGGATCCTAGCCCAGCCCACTGTGCCCCCAAACTCCTGTGGAGCCTCAACAGAGCGAGGCTCAATATCACACACATCCTGCACAAGCCCTGCTAAGCCATGTCCTCTTCCCACAGTGCAACTCAGCCAAGAGTCCCTCTGCAGCCAGAAAGGTGAGGATAGGATTTGGCCCTTACAGAGGAAATATAAAATATAAATTAATGGTGTGACATTGGGTGGTTTAAGTCATTCGGAGATATGTTGAGAATGGAATTGAGGAGAGATTTATCAAAGAAAAGTGTAGAACTATTTTGCAGCAGCTGGGGGCCAAACTAATTGGATTTGTAGCACAAAGATGGACTACAGGAATGAATAGCCACAGAAGGAGATTAAGACCCCTTAAAGCATACATTGCTGTGTAAAATGGACACAGTACTAGTTAGACAGGTGGTAGAGAAAAGGAAAACTTTTTTTTAAAAAAGACATGATACTGGAAGCCCCAAAACTAACATCACTAACATTTAATACATATTTTAGAAAGCCACATTAGTGAAAGGAGGGCAAATGAAATAACTGAAATGCAGAAAGGAACTGTATAGGAAATGGAAGAGAGGGAAGATTGGAAGGAATAGATGTAAGCTAGCTGTCAAGGAATACACATATAAAATAAGGAATGCAACAAAGTAAGATTAAATTATGCCAGATAATGGAGTCAAAGGAAATAAGAAAGGGTTGTATTCAGAAAAAAAGAACAACATTATGGAAAGATAGAACAGCTAGAAAAATGTGAAAGGTGAATAGGTAAGTAATGACTCCAAAATGGCTGAAATTTAAATAACTGTGCTCAGTTTTTTATTTGAAAACATGATAACAAAAAAATGAGCATGTTATGCAAGAAGCGGAAAAAAAAGGTTGACAATAATAGCTGAAGAGACTGAGAGCAAAGGATAAACAAAGAGAATATCGATCACACACTGTGAACAGTGAATAATTCATCGAACACAGTTAAGGCCCCACAGCTTTCACATTTGCTGTAGAATCCTTCTCTTGCAGTAGGAGTATGCAGCAATCTCTAATTTTTTAGATCCAAATTTTCAGTTTTCTTGGTGTTGAAGAAAAGCATGGAAGGTGGGAACAGAGGGTAAAATCAGGCAAGCTTGTCTTTCTGAGTCTATAAGCAATCAGAAACAGTGGGTCTCAGAGGTGTCAACTGCCTCATTCATCTGAGTGGATTATTAACTCTGAAACCGAACAGAATACTTTAAAAGCCAACATAGAACTATTTTCTTACAATTTATTTTTACAAAAATATCCAATTAATGTATTTACAATCTCCATCCACCTCCCTACATTTCATGAAGTGCCATACATTCCCCAGTGACCCCTACCCAGCTGCTGAAAGATCCAGCTTCCTCTATTAAAAAACACAGGGAAATAATTATGTATGGCAGACCTGCATGAAAGAGACTGAGGCTATGTTTATAGCGCTTTACCATTATAGGTATGTTATACCAGCAAAGCCCTCCAAGCATGGACACAGCTATAGTAGTAAAACTGCTCTTTGTAACAATATAGTAAATCCGCCCCACATGAGCAAAACAAGCTATTCTGGCAAAAGCACAGTTTTGCTGGTAAAACTGCATCCACACAAGGGACTTCTGCTGGTAAAGCTACGTTGGTCAACCATGTGAAGAGGTGTGATCCCTCAGCATCAATGCTGTGTCAGCAGGAGTCTGTAGCATAGATGCAGCTAAACTGGCAAACTGTGTAAAGTAGTGCACTCATCACCCATAGCACCCTCTTGTGTCAGGGTGCGATGCTGAAAGGGATTCTCCTCTCCAGCACCATCTATTGGCCATTTGCCTCTCCCTTCTCTGCTGAACTAATAAATCTTCCACCCCTCTCAGGCTCCACTGAAGTACTTTTATTGACCTTATCTCCCCCCACAGCAATCTAACCAGCTTCCTGTGGATCTCCCCATCAGGTTTCTTGCCTGGTTAAGCCCTATTGCAGGGCATCCCCCATGACTCTGACCTATTCCCTGTAAGTTTCTCTCTACAGGAGAATCTTATGTCCTGTGTAGACTCTTTCCCTATTGAGTTCCCTCCAGTTCCTTATAAGACGTAGGTGCTAAGCTCCCTGCCCCCAGCCTGTAGGCAATCAGTCACAGGTGCAATAATTACGAGTAGTCTGGTGGCACCTTAAAGACTAACAGATTTATTTGGGCATACACTTTCTTGGGTAAAAAACCCACTTCTTCAGATGCAAAGTGGGGTTTTTTACCCACGAAAGCTTATGCCCAAATAAATCTGTTAGTCTTTAGGGTGCCACCGGACTCCTCGTTGTTTTTGTGGATACAGACTAACACAGCTACCCCTCTAATACTTGAGGTGCAATAATTGGCTCTTCCACCTCTTGTCTAAAAGGTCATGGAAGTAAGCCTTATCACACTATGTTTTTACTAGTATCATTTGTTTCACTGGGGGTGTTACTATACCTGTACAAAGCCAAGCTTTGTCAGTTTCGCTGTGCACACCAGGGGTCTTTTGCCAGAATAGTATACGGTTATAGTTATATGCCAAAGCATTCCTTGTGAGGAGATAGCATATGCAACAGCATAAGCCATGGAGCAATGTAATGTACAACAGAATAGTGTTGTACCAGAATTCTGTAAACATTCATGAAAGTCTCCAAAAAAACAAATCTCATCTGCCAATAAGATGTATATCAGAGAGACGTCACTCGTGTTTTCTCAGTGGTTGAATGGGAAGGGAAAGGTGAAGTATTTCTGAATATGGCCCAGCAGGACAAGTGTTGATTGTACCACTTCTAGCACCTCTAATTAACCAGTTAATGGAGAAGCATTCATTCTTGTCTTATCCTTTTCTATCATAGAGATTTCTAGAAAGCCCATCACCACGGTATCTAAACGATAAGGAGACAGGAGGCACATCTTTGCCCACAGTTGCACTGGATCTACTCATCTATGGAAAAAAAATACAATGTTAAATAAATGCAGAGTATTGGAAATTAATAGTGAATAAAAACAACTACTATACAACACAGTGGATGATTAACATTTAATCTGATCTCATTTTAAATAATTCATATCGATTAGTGTCTATGACTTTCATTCACAACTTGCCCTTATGCCTGTCATTATAAAAAATGCTTGCAGCCTGTCACTCTGCCTAACTAATGAATTCTCATCAGTTTGCTATTCCTTTGGGAGCTGTTTCAGTTATTTTGAAATGCAATCTGTTATGGGAAATATACGTTCC